GTAAAAACAAAGCCGATTGCGAGACCTGGACAATCGCTTGCACCTAAGAATAACGTCTCTGAAATAGGATCCACATGCACTCGACATGGTCAGTGCCACGTAGCAAGCTAAATTTTCAAAATAAAGCTTTTTTTTTCTTTTTTATGTTTTTGTCTGATATGCGTATTGATGATTTAGCGACGTGCAGCTATTATGGCGTCCTTGTAGTTCTGGATAGCTTTTCGACATAATTGTACCATTACATGTTTCATTGACGCTTTTCCTCTGGCAGGGCCCACCCGGTGGCGCTCGTCGATGCAACATATAACGCCTCCACCGCAAGGAAGAAACGCCTCGAGGCGCAATATATGTCTAGTAATAACTCGGTTCTTCCTCCATCTTTGATTATTCTCTCGTTTCATGGGTGACCGCTAGTTAGAAACACGGAGGAGCACTCAGATTCATTTTCCACGCAAATCTTCCGAACTGTGCCTAATTTTCTCGTCATCTATATTCTCGAGCGATCAACCCTCTACTCCATGTACTAGGGTTTTTTCTTCTTCTTTATATTGTGTAAAATTTACACTTACCCTAATGCAAAAAAAAAAAAAAACTTGTTTTAAATAAGCATTAAATATTTGAGGCTTTCATACAAAGTTCAAAGGCGGACAAACGGCGTCAAAAAGTTAAAACGTTAGTGCAGTTGTGTTCATACAAGGATACAAAACCAAAAAAGAAAGAAGAACACTATGATTGGCGAAGTACGAAGAGCGAAAGAAGGGAACACTATTCACTGCGAAGGCAACTGTTTTAGCGCCGGCGCGAGGCAAACGGCAAAAAGGCATTACAGCCCCAACTTTGACAGGCGTGCTCAATATGCAAATGTATTCACGGTCGCAGTGCGTTTATGCATGCAAATCATAAACGTTTCGTAGTTCGCAGTTTTCGCTTTTGCGGGACGAGGCGCTCCACCGCAGTGCTGGAGGCCTAGCCGTCATATTTTATTGCCGCTTGACTTAGCTCTGCTACGCTCCGGCGAAATGAACAACTCGATTCTTGGTCTAACGACAGCGATTAGATTAACAATTAGCTGCGACTCGGAATGTGCCTAGAGGTGCCTTTGTACTCGATGGCTGAATCACTGGTTGACGCCATTCTACGCTCACAGCTTTCTTCGTCAGTGGTTTTCATGTACGAGCATGTATGGTCTGTGGAGCTGCGAATGCTATGGTTAGTATAAGTCAGAGCGCTATCGAGGCTAGTGGAGAAATGAACAACGAGACTAAAAGCGAAAAAGCGTGGTGCATCTTATAGAATAGATTAGATTTGCGCTGATAACGTAGGCGCAGGAAGAAACCGAACGCGTTCACATTGCACTTATGAAGCTTCTTTATTGTCCCTCTCGGCCCGCAACTTTGGCGTCACTTTGACTTAGGCAAAACGAAGTATATCTATGTCAATGTTCTCTCTATTTTGCGAAGTTTTTTTTTTTTTTCTCGTCATAGATACATTGAAGACAAGTGTATGCGTTTAGGACAGGTTGACTCATTTTTGATGGGCAATCCAAAATATTGCACCCTTATTAACTAATTGTTTATCTTGATTTCCAGTAAAAACGAGTGGTATACGCGAATTTTATTTTAAAAGTAATCAAAACAAAGGAAAGAAACATCGAACTTTATTCAAGTGAGCACGGAAAAGCGGAGTCCAATCATGGCCGCCCTCCGCATTTCTGGCGCACATTGATTTCCCCCTTCTTAAGTGAATTCCGCTGCAACAAAAGCGTGTCCACGCGGAGCTTCTTCAGATGTGACACACACCTCTATTTAACGGGCAGCAAGGTCGCGTCAGAATACATTCTCCCCTTTGCTGCCTTTGTAGCTCTTTTTCTAAAACCTCACCCCAATACGCAGAGCAAAAACAAACAAATAAATAAATAAATAAATTTATTGTGGAGGTATTTATCTAACTACTGTCATAAGCAAGTGAGGGCTGGGGCTTACGTGATTTAGGAGGATTTTTGTTTTCACGAATGGGAACGCTCTAGTGCTTTGTTCGCGTTTCTTTTTTTTTTTTTTTACTAAAAACTTTGCTATTTTATAAAAAGGGAGACACATTTGGTAACAAGGAGTCGTCGTGCGTTTTGCTTGTGACTGATAAGTCAGAAGTTGGAGCACAGACAGCAGCATGGAGCAACACTTCAGTTAGTGGGCTTGTTTTCGGGAACGCACAGTTTGAAAAGAAATTCGAAAAGCGCCAGTGCTGTGGTCGCCCTATTCGGGTCGCGCAGTGCACAGCAACCACAATAGTCACTCTTAATATACTCCGACGTTGAGTGCAGCGAACGCAGCATAGCGCAGAAGGGGTGCGCATCCTTGACCGGCGAGCAGGAACTCGATATCTGCGACGTTGGACTACAGCAGAGCCTTCACTGCACTTGCATGGCGGCAGGGATGGCCGCATTTTGTCGTGCAGATAACCCGCACATATTTATGAAGGAAGGTTGTGCGACTGTTTGAGAGTGGAGTACCTGGTATATTCCATTATTCGCCGTTACGGGCCATCAAACTCCAGGTGGGAAATTTGACGTGGAAATCGAGTGGAACCTAAACTCGGCGCAGAACTATAGAACTTGAAATCGGGCTAGTTGATGAACGTCAAAAAGCACGGTGTAAAGAGAAAAAAAAAATAAAAAAAACGATCGCAAAGAACAAGACACACACACAGAGGCGCCTGTGTCTGTCTTCTTCCTCGTGTACGTTTTTTTTTTTTTTTTATTTGTTGCGCCTTACGTTATGCTTCCTTTCACAGTAATATGTTGCACATTTTTGCAGTTGTCCCGCTTTTGGTGCAGAAGATTATCCCTTATGATGGTTTCCTTTCCCTGCAGGCTCCACGGGTTTGATGGCGCGAAGCCCTTCTTTGTTTACGGGGATGCGGGCGGCAAGCCTTCCAACTGTTTCTAAAGTTTACCGAATAGTCTCGTCAGTGTAGGTCGACCCTATTGCCTTTGAGATCCCAGGCCGTCTGGAGAAACGCAAAAAAAAAAAAAAAAGAAACAAAGAAAAAACACGACAAAACAGGAGAGTCAGTAAAATAAACAAAAATATCGCAATAGAAACAATGTCATTTGACATCCCCAGGGAAGGGCGAGACTAAGGAACCCAAACCCTTTTACCCCCTATTCAGCAAAGGGATTTACGAGAGAATAATGAGCATGACTTTTCGTCCGCTCACTCTCACAGAGAAAGCGGTATTTTTTGGTCAGACAATTTATTGACTGTCGTTATTGCCTCACCACTATTTATAACTGAATTTAACCCTTAGTTCGTCTGAAATAAATCAGGCGTGCATTTCTCTTTATATATTTTTCATTTTTAAAATAGCAGCACCTGCATTTTAATCTACTGCTTCCTTCAAAAAGTAATGTGTGTTGTGGTGAGAAGCAACGAGCGTAGCGCGGGCGAACGAGCGCCTTTTTGTCTGATCAGTTAGTCAAGCGAGCTCAATGATGATGATTTCCGGCCCTGTACCTAGCGCCATCACGCAACGGCCCTTTAGCCCTTTACTGCACAACTTTTTATTTTTTCACAATTTTATTCCAGCAGAAGTAGAATACCACAGTTATCACAATACTATCACTAAAATACATTTCAAAGTTTCGAAAAAATTTATATCGAAAAAAGATAGGTATGTTGCATATTTGCAACAAGATGGAAATAACGAAATATTTATAGCCGAATGCTAAAAATTTGTGAACCAGAGCCAAACTTGTATTTACAGACATCAGTGAGAGATGTGGCCTCATTTGCTTGTGTGATACAAAAGAAAGCAGTTATTCTTGCTTGTTGAGCACAGGTGAGTGCCACACTTAGAGCAGTAGCTCATACAAATGCCCTTGCATCCAGGAAACTTGCAACGCTGTCGCTTCTGACTCCAAAGCACCCAGTGGCCAACCTGAGCATAGAAGTATGAACAGTGAGGTTTGTAACACAGATTAATTCGCCAGTGATAATACCTGATGAATCCTGACATCTTGAGGTGGACACGGTGCTGAAGGACCTCTTGTCTTCTTCAGCTGGATGCCTTGCTCCACGGACTTATTGCTGGGCCTTCCCCTTTTCTTCAGTTGATTTTTTCCTGCTTTGCAGAGTGACGTGGCGAGGTCCACCTTGAACTCTGCTAATGGCATGAGCTTTCGTGTTGGTTGATCGGAAGTAGTCTCGGCATTCCTCCTGTACAGCAGCCAGGCATTTACAGCCGTCAAGTCGAGAATATGAAGAAAAATACGAAAGTACCATTTCTTCGATCGGAGATGGGCGCGGTAGAGGGAGATCAGAGAGTCTAAGAGATCCACTCCTCCCATGTGCTTGTTATAAGCGCCTATCACCGACGGACACGGTATGTCGCGCCTCTCCTTTTCTTTTTGGCTCCACCTTGGCGCAGTTAGGACAGGCTCTGCCCCAACAAAGGTGGACAGCAAGGTGACGGCTCTGTTGTCTTGCCACCTTGTACACGACAGCTGAATGCCATCCAGGGTCGCTACCTTCTCTTCAAAGCTTCCCCTTCCTTTCTGTTTCATTTCCTTGTCAGATGGCATGCTGATACCCGTTACTCGGTTGATCCGGACTGTACCAATGCAGTGTACGGTTTCTTTTTCCAGGTACACCTGAAGGGTTGGACAGTTGAAGTAGTTATCGAAATACACTTTGTGGTGGACTCATCTTGGGATTAACCTGCACAATCGAACAACAATGTTCCCGCTTGCTCCACAGTCAGGCTCTCCTGCACGTCTTGGGGCAGAGTTTTCTTGTCCCGTGTACAGTTCTAGCTTGTACGAGAAGCCACTTACTCCTGAGAGAACAAATACTTTGTACCCCCATTTTTTTGGTTTCTGGGGACAGTACTGTTTCAGTGCACTTGCGCCTTTGAAAGGTATAATCTGTTCATCCACAGACAAGTGCTCTTCAAGCGGTATCAGCGACAACTGTTCATTTACAGCATCGACGAGTGGTCGTATCTTTGCAAGCCGGTCTCTATCAGGATCATCTCTTGGGCCGAGAGAGCTGTTGTCCACAAAGTGAAGGTTGTGCTTCAACTGTTCGAAGCGTGTCACCGTGAGGTGGTCAGCTACTTGGCTTACTCTGGTAGCTTCACTCCAGTACCACCTAGTGTTCTTCAGCTGAATTATAGACATCCACATGCAGGTGCCTAGAAAAACTTCAATCTCCTCGGCACTGGTGCAGAGGGGCTTACTGGCATCCTTCTGGACTGAGTACAAATTGCTCTCATTTGCAATAAGCGAAATAAGAGCGCCTGGAAAGATGAACTTGAAGTATTGGAAAGGTGTTTCCAACTCTGAAACTTCCTGCGGAAGCTCATTTTGTCCAGTGAACTTCACTGTTTCAGGATCCCGCATCAGGCTTGCATTCTTCCAGATAATTCTTCTCTTAGATTGAGTTGATGACTGATCAGCTGGTTGGCTTGCGGGAGCTTCCTCTTCGTCAGAGCTTGTACTCGCCTCGCTTGAACTGGCACTACATTTTGCAGGGGGTTGGACATCTGGGGTACAAAAAATAACAGCGTCTCGTACAACTCATACAATGAGCAGTAAAATAAATAATTTGGAGAGAAATTCTACATTGTATAGGGGACTATCTTCCCTGGCGGTTCTAAGTGTGCTCTTTGAAAGCGTGAAAACAACCCTACAACTTTGCAATTGTGTGTAGTTACACCTGACGAAGGATGGTCTCTTCCGAAAATCTCTGTCAATAAAGCCTACACTGCTTCTAATTTTATTCTCTACGTGAAAAAAAGTTGGATTTCCAGAAAAAAACATTAACTTACAATCAGAGTCATCGTCACTGCCGGAGAGCTCGCTGTCCTCACTGTCGGAAGGAATTCCACGGCTGTAAAACCGTTTGGGGTCCATTGTGTCTGCTCTACGAAGAAAAAACACCGTCGTGCACGTTGTTGCATCTGTGCAACATAGCTATTTTTTGCTTCCAAAGACAAACTTCGTCGATAATCTTAAGGTTTTTAGTATTTACATAATCAGCAGGACATTAAGTTGAGTCGCAAATTTTTTGTTTTGCATTACACTGTATAGAACGTGATATGCAGTAGTCAAGGCTTACCTGTGTCACTTGTTGAGCGTCCACGTGGTGGCTGTCACGCTTTTTAGAGAGCAGTTTCGCCGCCTGAGTACAGATGGCAGCACTGGACGGCTCGCCTCGCGGATGTATGTTGCAGAAATGCAACAACGTGCGGAACTAGCACTGAATGCATTTTGTAGATGTTTTTATCGTCGTTTATCGCTATGTTGCGAATATGCAACAAGGTGCAGTAAAGGGTTAAGTATTGCGCCTCGAGCCATTTTTTTTTTTGGATCGCTGCTCTTAGGCGCCTGTTTCCGTGTTGAGCGGCGTTGGCGTAACCTCGAGTTGCATTATGGGATGTTTCCCACAATGACTTCCTACGTGACGTCAAGTAGGTAAACTTTTGCCGCTAAATTTGGCGGGAAATTTTTCAGCATAATTTAGAGGGAAACTTTCCCTCTAAATTTAGCGGTGAAACTTTTTTTCTAAACTTAAATTTAAAACGTTTTCGCTAAATTCAGCGGAAAAACTTCCCGGCTACGTGACGTCACCTCAACACCAATTTAGTCTCCCCGTTAGATTTATCGGGAAAAGTTTCGCAAAATTTCTCCCTACATTTAGCAAAAAAATATTCGTAAATTTTCCGCTAGATTCAGCAGGAATATTCGCCGCTAAATTTAGCTGGGAAATTTTCGCTTAACTTAGCGAGAAATTTAGCGAAAATTTCCCGCTAAATCTGAAGGAAGCAGAAGGGGAGGAGGGGAGGGTACGGATGGGTAGCAGGGGCACACCCTCGATTCCGTACACTCCCCTCCTCTTCCTCAGGAGCTGCGCTCTGATTCGGCATTGCGGAGATTCGTAAACGTCTTTAATTTTTTCTATATATATGTCTTCCGACGAATGGAATGACAGGGAGAGCTCTTCGTGCCAAGAATCTCGGAGGCCATGGTGAGCGACTGCGAGTACCCAGGGCTCTCGTGCCGTTTGTCGTCAAAGGCTGGGAGCGCGAACTCTTAGCTTGGGTAGCCTACTTGCTTGCATGAGAGACCGTGAAGCGAAGACTCGCTCTGACGCGCCCTAACGCAGGAGGAGGCTTGCCCTTGTAAATTGGTATGAGGTACATATTTACGCAAGGCAGAGTACGTAGGCGGGAAAAACTGGTATTTAAAAACGTACTTAATTGCCGCTCGCAAAGACAACTATACATAACCTAACTTGTTATTGTAGTATGAGTAATTAAAGTCAATATTTTGGACGTTGACATCTACGCACTTAAAACGCCTTGTTTCTCGCGCGTTTAACGCCGAGCAACGCTTTTGCCCTCAACGGGTCACGTGCCGAATCCGATTGATGAAAATGTCTATCCCGTTACCCATTAATGATGACTTAATTAACCATTTGACTCGTTCCACAAGAAACGCACGCCGCCCTTTCATAGAGTCTGTGTGGCTTCTCCCTTATAGTCCCCGCGCTGGAAGCAACAACGGACACGGGTAGCAGCAGCAGCAGCAGCGGCAGTATCGGCAGCGCCGGCGTGATTCTGGTGTTACGCGGGGTGGAAACGAGACGTCGACTACGCAGCTCCTATAAATAAATAAGGGGTTGAAAAGAAGCAGCTGCTTGCATTGCCTCGTTCTTAGACGTCCGGCCCATCGGGGCAGATCGGGGTCCTGAGGATCCCCGCTACTGCTGCCGGAGCTCATTGGGCGGATGAAGGGAGAAAAAAAAAAAGAAGAGAAAGAAGTCGGCAGCTGCGAGTAACTCCAGCTGGAACAGACGATCCTCGTTGGTTTGATGGACAGGTGCCGCTATGCTTGTTTTACCCCTATCAGCTTTCCCGCGCTCGGCGTAAGTGCAAGTGTAGGCAGCGCAGGATTTGGATGTCGGCTTTTTGGAATGAGGGAATCGAACTTGGCTGTTGGACAGCACTGGGGACTCGTTTAAAGTTTGAGCGGTAACGTTTTATACTATTCGAAACTTGCACGACCTTTAGGGAGCGCAAGTTGCTCGTCGGTACAAAACGAGCGATGATACAACCAGCAATGTTTGAGCATCACAATAGTCTATTTACGTCAAAAAGGGTTAAGCAATTATGCGTAGTGTGAAGTCTATCATCCACAAACATGGAAAGCGCGATAGTCACATGTCGGTACCAGCGTCACTGAAAGTTGTGAAGAGTAACGGGCAAGAAGAAGCCGTCAGGTAGTCTCTTTCGGGCGACCGTCCTCCAGGACGCGTTCGTCGCCTTCTGGAGTGCTTGGCTGCGCGTTCACGTGCCGGGGTCACGAGGCGCCGAGGCGTTATCAAAGGTAGAAAGAAATCACTAGAGACGGGACAATTGAAACTGCTCTCTGACGTTTTCACTTCGTCAGTGGCTACAGACGCTTTAACTGCCTGGTTAGCAAGGATAGGGAGAGAAGAGGATAGAAAGTGGGAGACGTATAGAGACTGGGTTACGTGATATGATGTACACCGAGTCTTTGTCGCAATGCTCCTACAACTCAGCCGTCATCCTCATTGAAAACAACGTTTGGGGTGCGAGGTCATAGTGTTTTGTTTTTTTTTCGCTTTATTATTACTTTGTGTTTTATTACAGTCATATTGCGTAACAACGTCAATTCTGACGTAGTATTCTGGTTGTGAGAGTAAAGCTGACCGATAGAAAAAAAAAAGCCCAAATGGCGTTTTTTTATTATTTTTTTTTTCAAGTACATGCAGCGGCGTTATTTGAAGAGTCGACTGCGGGATGGTGCGGGTTCTAGAAGCAAATGGAAGCGAGCAGTAGCAGAATGAAGGGAAATACATTTTGTTTCTTCGGAATGTGATGCGTGATTTGGTTTCGTTGTCGTTACGAGTAAAACGAAGTATTATGAGACTTGAAGGTAGACTAGCTCGGTATCTGCATTCCGAGTTTTGAGAATCGGTAGACGACTTTCGCATGACATCATAAAGAGGTGGCGTTTTCTAAATCCGAATATTGTCTACAATTTTTTTATGTAGAACGGAAAAAATAGATAGGTTACACCCACATTGCTTCAATTAAATCGAGGTCGTAACGCGTGCCTTTTTTTTTCTTTTCTCGTCAGAAAATTTGCATTTTGTCACACGAAGATTCAACATGACATTAGCATGAACAATTATGTATTCAGATTTAGCGATATAGATATCAGGTTGCAGGCAAGGTTCCAGCGAAAAATAATCATTTATGGTAGCGAAGAATACATACGTCAACGTCCGGGGACCGACGCCTTCCCCACTGCGCAGCTGACGGCTACCAGCAAAGCCGGTCGCCGCGCCGGGTTCGCCAACGCCATGCGAACAACAATGATCCCGGTATCCAACAGCGTTGATTGGAAAACAGGGGTTCCCAACAGAACACTTCGGTCAAGCGAGCCCTGAACACAGATTGCCCGCAGCGCCAGCCGGCCTGGGAGCCAAAGGATATTGCGAGCGGAGTCATTGCCGTGGGCCGAGCTCGAGCCAGCTACCCGTCGTCGCAGGATTTCGGCCCAGGGCTCTCCGCAGATCGACGCTTACTCGGAGGAGGAGACGCCGACCGTCAGAGCCAGGGGAAACGCTAGCGTTGAGTCATCGCCGGTCGCACGAGCTCACACCGCGACTCGACCCGTAGCCCGGAGTCCAATCGAGGACTTCTCGACCAGACACTCGTCCACTCGGACGAGGGAAGGCGCGACTGTTTTCTCGCGATCTCGCTGATTTCCCGAACTACAGCAACTACAGCGCGCGGAGGTGTGCGAGAGGGTTAAGCCCAACATGTGGCTGCTCTCCCCGACACGAAGCGGTGCGAACATGCTCGAAGGCAGAAGACTTCGACCAGAACTTCGCTGCTTACGCCTTCTCGGGGACGGGAAACCAGTGGCTCCCACAGTATCGAGATGTCTTTTTAGCATCCTGTTAAGACCTTCCCTACATTAATTGGCAGGTTTTCCTCGCCCGCTCTTAAACAAGGCTTCATGTTATGTATTTTGTACCTAGAAATGATAAAATGGAAAATTGTTAGTTAGATTTTCGTTCACTATTCTATATTTTGCTGTAGTTCGAGTGAAACGGAACGAAGTTCGAGGGATCATAATCATTTCAAAAACGCTGGACAGAAAATATGCCTGGGACGAATTCAAGGTGTAAGTATCGCCTAGCGGCAACCTTGTTTAGACGCCTCCTTGCTGCACCAGAAACTAAAAACATGTACACAAAGCGAATGAAAAATTGGGGAGCTTTACACCCATGGCGTAATCACTGTTATTTTAATTCATGTGCCCGTGTTATTTTTTTTCTCTCCTATCAAATGACGTACACCGTGAGACTCAAAGAAATGAAAATTCACCTTAACAACATGTCGTGCAGTTACGACTAATTAAAGAAATATTTAGCATATCTAAAGACAGACACATATATGCTCGGTTCGTATTTTGCATGTATGTGCGTGGCCTCTTTATTTTTGAACCTGGAAACAAAAACGCTGGATTCAAAAAACGGGCGCTCAATAAAAATTAATCGTTTTCTTCGTTTTTATACACACTTTACCGGAAACTTTGCTTGGTCAATTTAAAGCAAATAAACATATAAAAGCATAATAATTGATAATTAGGAGACTAAAAAAATCATAATAAAGTCGTGTTCAGAAAAATCAATGAACTCGGAGTGCTAATGAAAGGCGTCGATAACCCGCGAGCTTAAGCAGACTTGAACCCTCTCCGCGTTTTCTTTTTCTCCCCTAAAACTTTTTAAATAAAACAAAATTCCAACGCCCAAAGTGTATCGGGAAATTTTCACGGATCAATTAACTAAGGGGCCGTCAAAAAAGATGGACGAGTGGCAAGCTTAATATCGAGTGAAACGATATTGAGTTCGAACTTTTCTGACTGCGTATGGCTTAATTGGGTACAAAAGAACTAACGCGTGAAACATTTATAAAAAAGAAAAGGTCTTTCTCCTTTACTCTGCCACTTTGTTGGAAAGATTTTTTTTTTGTATTTCAAAATAATACACCCAATGTACCCAAAAATTCTGCACTTAAAAAAAAAAAAAAGAACAGGTCCGTATAGTTTTCCCCAAAACGAGGAACGCTCTTGTAACCTATGTTACAACAGCGTGGAAAGGGAGAAATTTTCGTCGCTGAAAGCAGGGGATCAAAGTTGCTCCGTCGTCTGCATATAATTATCGGGGCCGCGAATCGAGCGACTCGAGCTCAATAAGGCTTA